GAGTTCTTGAGGCAACCAAACACCTTTTAAGTAGTTTTCCCATATTCCTTAGATGTTTATGTATGTTTCATGAGAGACATGCAATTTCAGGGCCATTTCACGAGTGTATGGCCTTGGGTTAGACTCAACATGAATCTTCAGATTATCAATATCAATTCCAACATGTCGACCACTGCCATCACAGTTTTTAAGGCTAAAGTCACCTGAACGAAATTTGCTGAACCATCGTTGACACTTACGAACATTCAAAACATTTCCATAAACTTCTTTGATATTCATTTTGGCTACAGAGGAGTTGTTTCCCTTCTTGTATTCAAACAGTATTACATGATGAATGTGTGTCTCGTCGTGTGCCATCATTATAAGGGATTAGAGTATACTAAATTTTACACATTATACAGGCTACTCTAACATGATGTAAATTTTTGGGGGGGGGGATGGTTAATGAAAGTATTCCAAAATACGACATTAATTTCTTGATGACCTAATAGATACCTTGAATAGGCTGAGAAAACCACATGGGGAAAATTCTGATTTTCTAACTGGCTGTGAACACATGATAGAGCAAAGTGAGTATACATAAGCAAGAATTTGAACAAAATAGAAGAGGTAGGTGGGACCACTGAATTTGATTTGCTAAATATAGTCTCTTCTCAGTAAGTAGAAAAGATAAGAGGTTTTTATTTTATATTCTATCTTGTCAATATTGGTAATTTGAGTTTATAATTCATAAGAAACTATAGACTTTGTATTTGGACATCACAAACACCTAATTTGAAACAAAGCTGCATTTAACATAAAACATGACAAAAAAAATCGATATTTAGTCATTTTGATTTAATATTTACTTTTAAATTACAAAATTAACTAATGTATTGTACTAAAATTTGAATTATAATCTACATTTGATACCAAACTTATTGACATACATTCATAAAATGGTAGTTCAATAAAATTTTGAATGGAAGTCTACAAACGACTACACTTGTTATAAAGAAATATTTAACCATGCATTGAATACATGTGGATAAGTGCTTACAAACACCCACAACTATACTGGTTTATTTTGGTAAGTTGTATCATGATTGGTGTTTTGTCTCCTTGCTTGTTGATATCTTTGTGTTGATTTTTAAAAAATATTTGATAAATTACAAAACTTGCATAAAAAAAAATACCTGAAATAAACTATAAGCATGATTACCAGACTAATTTGTTTTAATACATGATGCAAAATTAAACATAGAATTTTATCTACTACTGAAAGTGAACACCTTTAACACCTTTCTTACAAAGAAAGATGTTTGATGTACAATGGTTCAAAGCTACATGTATCTGCAGGCATACAGTTTTTACTTCAAAAGCCTTTTTTGTAAAGGAAGGCTATAATTATATAACCTTTTGATTATAATCAAACTATACAAATTCTTCAAAAATGGCCAATTTATACTGTAGCCTAGACTAGATAAAGCCTGGCAAACCAAGAATTATTCTTATAGCATTTTTCAAAGGATTTTTGTATCTTCATTATATTAAGAAAACTAAAATACACAAAATATTGTAATAAGTACCTATTTATCTCAACTCTTTCAGCATAGACTCGGTCCCTGGTATAGACCTCGGAACCATTTTGTGCTTGTTATAGTCTTCATGCTATAACTTTTAAATTAGTAAGCATATGTTCACAAAATTTGGCATATTATCAGTAAACATCCAAGGCTTTCATGCACAAAATATCAGATTTTTTTTATCAAGTCTTAAGGTTTGTTAAGCAATGTTTTTCTCCTTTCCTATCCAACATGAAAAGTAACTTTCATTTTAAGATTAAAATTACTTTTATGCTTCAGAAAGTTTTCAAATTTCACATGCAAAATCTGCAGATGGTTATCAAATGTTCCTTAAAGAAAAACTATATATTTTATGTTATTTTCATTAACAAATCTCTGTACGAGTTTGGTCGATTTGACCAGTCTCGTAACCACCATAAAAATATTAAGAAATAAATATAAATTATGCCTGTTTCATTCTAGAATGACTACAAATTGTAATACAGAAACACAAATGTTTAGTGTATAAAATCTCATAACATTATACATTTATAAATATTTATTATTTTTATTATATTGACCTTTCAGCCATGCATGGCTAACATTACAGATGTTATAATAACGTGGCACACAAGTACTCATATTACAGCATCCAAGAAAATAAAACTGACCTTTAGTCTTTACAAAGTGACCTGTCTTGGCTGTGCTTTAGTGGACAAGTATTTTGTAAAACACAGTCACATTTCAATTATTATACACATGTTTATACATTATTACTATTTACATACAAGTTCTTAAAACATAGAACAGTAAATAAAGAAGTAACTCAAACAATTATCTCAGTTATTACCTTTATACTCATTTGCTGCTTGTCGTCGGTTGTTAAGCCGTATAAAATTTTGAAATGGAGGATGTGAAACGAAATAATTTTTTTAGGTTATATTTATATACATTTGAAATAACCCAAAAATTGTAAATTATTATATAGACACCAGAGAATTCCACTATAATTTATCAAACTTAGTAATTAACCTGTATTTGGGTCTAAAAAATATGAAATTTCAAGCAGACTAAGACTCTTGCTTACCAGCTTAAAGATTTGTATCGAAAAAATGATATGCTGTCATAACACTTTAAAATGGCTGAGATAGCCACTAGTGGGACATTCTGAGCTTCCAATTGGTTATTCACATGTCATTGATAGAAGTGTATATAAGGGAGCATTTCCAAAAATGGAAAGAGGTTATAAGGCCACTGTGTTTGATTCAGTACATGCGCAATATCTCAAGAAATAGAAAAGATACAGGTTCTTATTTTATATTCTAACTTGTTAATATCGAAAACTTGAGTTCCTAATTCATACGAAACTATACACTTTGTATTTTGACATCACATCTAATCTGAAACAGTGCTGCATTCAACACACCACATGACACATAAAAATCTATGTTTAGGTGTGTTTTTTTTATATAAACTTTGAAATTAAGAAATTAAATAATGTATAATACTACAATTTGAATTATAATCTACAGTTTGATACCAAACTTACTAACACAAGTTTATAAAATAGTATTTCAATAAAATTGTGAATGCAAGTCAACAAACGCGATGACATGGCCTTTGACCTATGACCCATGTGGAACGGGCGAAATGATATATTTATTTTCTAAACTGAAAATCTATGAGACAAAGAATCACAACTGTTTTTGCCTTTTTGCTATAGATGAACAACGTGAAAATTAAGTCCAAAATATACCCATAAGTATCTTTACCTTCCTATAGCACACTCAAAAAAGAACTTAGTAACATATCAAATCAAAAAGTGGTAAATTAAAAGAAGCTTCATTCAGCATAGATTTTTAATAACAAATTGTTTCACATAAAAATGTTAATAAAAACCCTAAATTTAATAATAGAAGACACTAATTTAATGTTAAGTAAGCAATCACATTCAAAAAAAAAAGTCTGATATTGAACAAAACAACTACTTAATTTGAATGTATCTGTGTTTTAAATATTATACCAGTGATTTCCAAACTATGTGTCAGAGCAGATTGCTTGAAGTGTTGGAACATAAGTAGGTAATAAGGTTGTTGTTCGTGAAAAAAGTTTGGAAACCACTGTACTTTACAATACATGATCATGTATCATTTCTAAGTTTTATAAATGAAACATTGTACTCAAAAAATAGTTATAATACTCCCACAATCAAAACTAATTAATTTCTTCAGTTGATTTATTTCACTACCCTGGGACTAGAAGTTAGTACTAGTGGTAGTAATAGTATTAGTACTAGTAAGTAATACCATTACCAGTTCTACTACTATTACTAGCAGAACTTAGAAGTACTTCTAATAGTAGTAGTATTATACTAGGAATACCATTACCAGTAGTGGAACTACAACTGTACAAATACAACATTACAAGAGAGTACAACTGACATTCAATTTATTTAATTTTTATTTTAAGGCAATTCCTAGCGCAAGCTTAAGCTTCAATTCAATCAAACCTATAAATAATTAAATTATAAAAATATGTCTGGCGCAAATGCACATACTATTACTAGTTGCTACTACATAGTTGAGGCATTATATTATGAAGTATTATATTATAAATATATGTATTTTATAGTATGCTAACCTTACTTTTAGTTTTATCGAAAGGCCTATGTTACTAGTAGCAATAGTACTGGTAATAGTATTAATAATAATATACTACGAGATTTGTGTTTACTAAGCCTAAATTACCTAAATGTCTTACATAATCAAAGCTTACCCTCTAAAAGCTGGTCTTCTTCGTATACGATATCATTATCGACTGTAAAACAGATATCTGGAAGACGCAAGGAAAAAAAAAGTTTTTTTTTTTAATTACAGTATTTTAAAAGCAGCATACAAACATTTAGTTAAAACAGTACACTATGTCTCGTAGTTCTCACCTGCCATGATGTAAAAAGCACGAGGGAAATGTCACTTCAATTTGATTGGACTTTACAATGCGAAAACTTTTACTTCATTGGTTATCTAATCTCGTATGTACGATAACGAAACACCCATTATTATTATTATTATTACAAAAACATGAAACAATGCCAAATAAACTTTTGATATTAATTAACAATAGGCCTTGTAAGCAAAATTGCTTAAACTACCAATACTGCAAGCCTATTAATTAATAACGACGTCCGTTGTGTATTACTATTATTTTGTTAAGTTCTTTGACAGAATTCCATAAATAAAAACATAAAAATACTGAACAATAACAACAAATGTACCTCATCGATAGTAAACAGTATGAACTCAAGTCTATAACTTGAGGGTTAAATAAAGTAATTTTGTGAGAGGGAGTGGGCAGTAGGGGTATATTTGGTTTAAATTATCAATAAGTTCAGGATTCATTCTACATATAATGGTTCAACATAAAAAGTCTTAAAATGGAACTTTCAAAGTGTCATATTCAGTGTTACAACCAAAATCAAATTAACTTTCATTAGTATTAAAAGGTATTTTAATCATTTTCATCGGTGTTTAATTATAAAAAATACCTAACTTTAGAAAATAAGAATAATGACGCATATTGTCTTATAAAGTTACTACCAGAAAGATTTTCTATAGAACAAATAGATAGATGCCATATTGTAGATACTTGCATGTTGAACCACTTGTATTTCTCCAACACTAGTAGAATGAGACAAATCCTACCAAGTCGATTACATTGTAGAAAATTAGCGTTAAAAATTATATACAATAAATATCACACCTTTAATCATTAAATGTTGTAAGCTATCTAATAATTTAAAAAGTAATAGAAAATTTTAAGAAACTGAGTTGTTGGAAAAGTAGCTCAGCGGTAAATACGAGAGCTTAAATCGCTAAAAATCGGGTTTCGATACCTGCATAGTAAAGTCAAAATTCACTGTCTTTTGCTTAATAATAAACAAAAATACATTAACTGGTTTCATATTTGACGAGTCAATTATACGAACATTTTATTACAGAAATTATTTATCAACATACTATTTTTATTTAAATCTACTATTTATTGGAGTGAAGAAAAAATGAGTTGCTTGTTTGGGAGCATCTACCTAAGAATTTCGTTGTTTTCAGTATTTTTATATTTACTTATTGCGTACACATGTTTTAAATACGCTGTTCTGTAATATTTTTCAATTCACAACGTAAGTAAATTAATTATTACAACTCCTTTGGAAATGTTTCAGGAGAGGAGATGAAAGTTCTCCCAGTAAATTCTGAACAAAGAGGTCAAAACTATACTTAGTTATTTTTTACCAACCTGTTCTAAATATACTACCATCAATTGAACAAATGACGGATTTAAAGCATTGACATTATACATTTAATTTCAGCAAAAATAATTTGAGAAGCACTTTTAATGAAATTTGCTTTGGAACAGATAACAGATGAAATTCTTCTGAATGATATCCCTATCTTTGGACAAGAAAATTTTATATAAAAAGTATTTATGCCTTTTTGTGTAAGCATCTGACTGAATAATCATTTAGTACGATCAAGTTTTATTTACTTATTGTTAATTGTTACATCTAAGTAGATTGTACTCCAGGGTAATTATATCAGTTACTTCGCATGTACATCATCATAACTGAAATACTCCGACATGTCCGATAGTTATGAATATTAGGTATAATGATGCAAAACACCGAGAAATGTTTTGGAAGGCATATCGAGAATCAAAGTCACACAAGTGAACTAAGTTATTTAATTTTCCCGCAATGTACGATGTCTTTCAAATATACTTCATATATAAATGTATCTGGTAAAACTAGAACCTTATCTAGTTTACGATTATTACGAGAATAATACAATTTACGTGAGCTATCAAGATGTAACAAAAAAAAAGGGAATAGACAGACTGATCTTAGAAAAATAATGTGCGTATATCTCATTGTCAATTACATAATCGTGTACTGGCATACATAGTCTACATCTTGAGAGGGGCATTTTCTTTTGTAAAACTTGCATGTTTATTTTTACGATAACATATCTTAAAAACTTATTCTTTACGGCTTGTGAAATTACGCATTATGAAAACTATAACCTCAAACTCTCTTATTCGCTGGAGTTCACAAAGTAACAAATACTGTAACGAATGCCTGAAGGTTTGTTTCATCCAGAAGTTTCGAGTAAAACTACACTAGTGTCTTGGGTACCAATGTTGCCAATGTTAAAGGTATTAACTCTTTATGCATGGTGTCCTTGGTGTTTGTATTAATATTCGGCTTCTTCTCATGTTCTTGTGAGTCTGTGACAAAACATACATGTTATCAAACGGTGCTTTATGTCTGCCAGCTTCCTGGACACACTAAGCCTGTTGGGCAGCCCATCTTTCCTCATGGAAAAGTGTATGGTTGTCTCTATTCATACGTCAGTTAGTCCGTTATATTCCTGAAGCGATATATGAAATAGCCAAGCGTAAAATGCAACGACACGAAATGAAGATTAAAAAATTCTGACCAAGCGCTAGCATTGCTTAGAAATATATTGTAACACTAAGCTCCTCTAGGACTACCAAGAATAACACATCATTAGGCAAGCCTCATTAACAAAACAGGTAAAACAATGTTTGAGGCTTCTCTATCCCGACCCATAACCAATATAATAGAAAACTTATTATGACCAGCTCAGTGATTCATTTAGGAAGTCGACTACCTATGGAACATTTACAAGTCTTTGGACCAACTTATGAACTTATGCAACAGTCTTAAAGGCAGGATTAGCGCTATTTAAGATTGGGAATGTCCACCTTGTCTGAAACTTTAACTGTGTACACAATCCTACCATTTTTTAAAATTCTGCAAATAATGGTATATATTTTATCTTACATTAGAAACAGGATTCAATTGCCATACTCACATACCAAATAATAGCAAATAGTTGAAATAGATTTGTACTTAATGTGTTATGAGTTTTATATAACAACACTTATTTTCCTCTTGAATACAATTAGATACAAATGAGAGAACTACAAAAAATTAGTATTTTGTACTTATGGCAAACCAACTAAGAATATCTGCATAATTTGGAGTTACTGACCAGAGGGTTTGTTTGTTTGTAATTAAGCACAAAGCTACACAATGGGCTATCTGTA